TTCCTCCTCCCCTCACCATCATACCTTCCTCCCCCTCCCCTCACCATCATACCTTTCTCTTCCTCCTCCCCTCACCATCATACCTTCCTCCCCCTCCCCTCACCATCATACCTTTCTCTTCCTCCTCCCCTCACCATCATACCTTCCTCCCCCTCCCCTCACCATCATACCCTCCTCCTCCTCCTCCCCTCACCATCATACCTTCCCCTTCCCCCTCCCCTCACCATCATACCTTCCTCCTCCTCCTCCTCCCCTCACCATCATACCTTCCTCTTCCTCCTCCCCTCACCATCATACCTTCCTCCCCCTCCCCTCACCATCATACCCTCCTCTTTCTCCGGTTCGACGGTAATCTGTGCGCAGGCTACTGCTGGGGTTCGTCGTCGACCCGCGACAGCCCGTCTGGATCGGCTACTCCCTCGCCGCCGCCCTGTTTGTGTTCGCGGTCGCCCGCACCCTCGTCGTTCAGCAGTACTTCCAGCGCTGCCAGCTCGTCGGCATGCGTGTGCGCGCCGCCACCATCGCCGTCGTGTACAAGAAGGTGAGAGCCCCCTGGTGGGTCGTCGTGGAAGCGAAGACCCTCTCGGTGTCCCCCCCTGGTGGGTCGTCGTGGAAGCGATGCCCGCGACGGGAGGGGGAGACTCGGTGTCGCCCTCTGGGGAGTAGTCGGGGAAGCGACGCGCGTACCGAAACTCGGGGAGGGAGGGTGATTCGGTGTCCATCTTATTTATGGTTTAATTCAATCTCCTTACTGCAAACTTACCGCCGTCGCTTCGTTTTGCTGTCAACCTGTTTGGAAGTCGTGGCCGCGAAAGGATATCTGAAATTTCCGAAATTTATTATTCTGATATAGCATCATTTAATATACGTCGTTATTATCTGAAATAACACGATTGATCAGAATTTCGCGCGAAACGCCGCGTATATACCTGTCCCCAACTCCACCTGCCGTCTCGTGTAGCGTTCTCTGTGGGTTCAGCGCACGTGTGTTGTGGGTTCTCGTCCCAGACGGTCTGTGACTCATGTATGTCTCGGTCTGTCTCGGTCTGTCTCGGTCTGTCGTACTCTCTGTTCACGTTCATTAATATCGTCAGCTGCCCGATGGCTTGAAACATGTTGTGTGCTAACAAACAAACAAACATACTAGCTAACTACGTAATTAACTAACTTACTAACTACCTGAATAACTAACTACAACCAACCAACCGACTGACCCCAACCAACCAACCAACCAACCAACCAACCAACCAGCCATCCAACCAACCAACCAGCCATCCAACTAATATAACCATAACCAATAATATATATAATTAACCATAACTATAACCAATAAACCGATAACCAGCTAACTAACTAACCAATAAACCGATAACCGGCCAACCAACTAATAAACCGATAACCAATGAACCAGCGAACCACGTTACTAATGAAGCAGCTTGTGTGGTCGACACTAAACACGTGTACGCGTGGCGACGATGTTTGTGAGGCTCGCTTACTGTGTGCTTATGTGCAGCGTTGATGCCGCCGCCGCCGCCGCCGCCTCACGTGCGACGTGAACAAACGCACGCGTCTCGCCTCATCTACGCCAAGGAGGTAAATATAACAAGGAGAGGAAGCGGATTCGCTGTGTGCTTTTCGCCTCAAGGGCGCCATTTATGGACCATAATCAGCTGAGACGGCTGTGCAGACCGAACCCAGAGACAATAGAACACTAATCTGTTCTAGGGTCTCTGCCGAACCCAAATTTGGGCCAGATATGGCGGCGCTTCCTCTCCTTGTTATATTTAGCTCCTTGGTCTGCGTTAGCTCCAGCAGCCGACTCACCCCCTCTCGAGTCGGGTTTTCGAAGCGGCGACGACGCGTGTCCCTTGCTGTGGGATCGTTCGCGTGCATGTATGTTGTCGTGGTTATGCGTACGTCACCATGGTTACGCGTACGTTGCCGTGACTGTGCGTACGTCACCGTGGTTACGCGTACGTCGCCGTGGTTACGCGTACGCCGCCACGACTACACGCACGTTACCGTTGTTACATGTACGTCGCCACGACCGCATGTACGCCGTCGTGACTACACGTACGTCACCGTGGTTACGCGTACATCACCGTGGTTACGCGTGTGTTTGCTGCTGCAGGCGTCTGATCGGGTTCACGAGCGATCCCGCGGAGCCGACGTGGCGCGGATACATGTACGCGGGGATCATGTTTGCAGCCGCGCTCCTGCAGACGGTCATCCTGCACCAGTACTTCCACCGCTGCTTCCTCGTCGGCATGCGCATACGCTCCGCCGTCATCGCCATCGTCTACAAGAAGGTAGGGGGCGCCGGCGTCCGACCTGACCCCACGACCTCCGCCTGAGCGGCCGATCCTGCGGCCTCCCCCCCTCGGATTTTGTCGTTAAGTTACCGAAGTCTCGCTGGTTTCGTCAACGTCGAGCGTTGCAGCACTTCGTAGCCGAGCGTTGTTTTTAGAGTGTGCTCTCGCGGCCGTGATGCTCTACGGCTGCGCGTCGGCCCCCGCCGGGTGGAAGGGTTGGTCGCGTCTGCGTTCGTTAATCGTATGTGTCTACGTCGTCTTAAGGGTGTGATGCAAAAGGAGAGGTGAATTTACGCACGTGTTGCTCGTTGTGGGGTTAGACTGCAACCATAAGGTGCGGTGCGTTCGAAAACGGGGTGGAGAAAATTTTACCGCAGCCTTCCGGTGCCGGAAGCGGGTTTTGCGAAACTTTTTCGCGTTTCCGTGAAATGTGTCGCAGATGGGGACGAGATTGTTGATTGTGTTAGTGAGTGTGTGTCTGTTGTCTGCGTGTGCGTGCGTGTGTGTGCGTGCGTGCGTGCGTGCGCGCGTGCGTTCTATGTAAGTTAGGAGTGTGTTTGTGTCGTGCGCACCCAGCTATGTAATTATACCTGTACGTACATACATGTATATATATATAATGTTGTCCCTCCCCACCTTACACACACACATATAACGGCAGCGCGTGCGCGACTTTCGTCTGCAACGCATCGCCACGGCGACGCGCGCGTGGTAGCGGTCACGACTGCCCTTCGTTCGCGTTGCCGTGGTCACGCGTGCGTTGCCATGGTTACATCTGACTGTCGTCTGCTGGTGTCGGCAGGCGCTGCTGATGTCCAACGCGGCGCGGCGGACGTCGACCGTCGGCGAGATTGTCAACCTGATGTCCGTGGATGCGCAGCGTCTGATGGACCTTACCACCTACCTCAACATGATGTGGTGAGTAGTATAGCTTCACCGTAGCCCCCCGCAGCTCTGTGCATCTCTGTGTATTTCTCTGTGCACACTGGTATAGCTAGTAGATAAGTACTGTGCAAGTGGTACATAGTACATGAAAAAATAAACGTGTTGTTGAAAAGTGACTGATTTTTCCATTGAAGACGATGTTTACTTCGACAGTAGCAGCAGCGATTTGCTTTTAGGCCAGTTATTTGGCCAGTAACTTTGACAGTATGTAGCCACAGTACTTTGCCCACAGTGCCTGCAGTAATCGTGGGATATCTCTCTCTCTCTCTCACCGTAAGCAGTAATTGCGCGCTAATGTCTCTCTCTCTCGCTCTAAGCAGCGTTCAACATTAACTTTTTATTTCACTAGACCATCGGGCTAGTAACTGAGGAAAACCACTAGCCCTGACACTGACAGGTATTGTTTTAAGCACGAACACCGTGTTTCGTTAACCACGAACACCAAGATTCGATGTTTTGCCTTGCACTACTGACATTGTGACAATTGTGCATTTTGTAATTACAAATGTGACTTATAAGGCAGAAAGGTGTGAAATGATGTCATGTAGCTATGTGCAATATATATGACCAATTCTAACATGACCAGTCGGGCTAATAGCACTCTGGTTGTATGCGACCGGACCAAGCATTTACCTGACTAGGTCGGTCGGACGTGGGTTAGTGTCGAACCCTGCTCTAAGGTAATCGCGCGCTAATGTCTTTCTATCATCTCACACAGGTCGGCACCGCTGCAGATCGCTCTGTCTCTGTACTTTCTGTGGGCGGAGCTGGGCCCGTCTGTGCTGGCAGGTCTAGCTGTGATGATTCTCATGATCCCAGTCAACGCCTACATCGCCGCGCGCACGCGCACCTTGCAGGTACGATGGCTTCCACATCCTCGCTCACTCATGCACTGTAACATCCTCTTCCTCTCCCCTCGTTCTCTCCCCTTCATCCTCTCCTCCCCTCGTCCTCTACCCTCGTCCTCTCCCCTCATCCTCTCCCCTCATCCTCTCCCCTCATCCTCTCCCCTCATCCTCTCCCCTCATCCTCTCCCCTCATCTTCTCTTACCATCCTCTCCCTTCATCCTCTTCCCTCATCCCCTCCCCTCATCCTCTCCCCTCGTACTCTCCTCTCCTCCTCTCCCCTTATCCTCTCCTCCCCTCATCCTCTCCCCTCGTCCTCTCCCCTCCTCCTCTCCCCTCATCCTCTCCCCTCATCCTCTCCCCTCGTCCTCTCCCCTCATCCTCTCCCCTCATCCTCTCCCCTCGTCCTCTCCCCTC